GCGAAAGTTTAGATGGAGTTTGTAGCCTAAACGGCTGAACGGATCTCGGTGAAATTTGGCATAGACGTAAAGGATTGTCTGGAAAAACACAATAGGCTAATCACTTTAGTTTTTTTTAATCTCACAGGGACGGGGTCGCGGGCGAAAGCTAGTTATCTAAATAAAAATAAACATTTACTTACAATGTTCTAAAATGAAGTTTTAGAACACAAAAAGGTTCTTATTTACTATTAATTGTATTTATGACTTGTGTATTTTTTAATGAAAATGTATGCGATGAATTTGTTTATTTTTATTATAAGTAGAAAAATAAGTCTAAGATTAAAATCATAAGATAAACTATAGCTTGAATTTTTTGAGTCAACACACATCTCGGCTTAAGTAAACAGTCATACAGTGCATCACGTTATGACGTGCTCTAATTTATTGCAAAGGAAACGATGCAATCTGCAAGGCCACATACAAACAAATTGATCATATTCTTGACATAGTTCTAATAGATAATATAACCGGTTACTTTTCAGAATTTTTATAACCCACCGTCCTCGAACCCGTCTACCATAGTAGGTTCTTAATATACTATTTCTATGTAATTCTTTTTGTACGACATTAAAATATATAAGCCCACGCACTTCTTGCCGCTACACTGATGCAATGAAATGAGGTAGCAATACATTAGAGGTGTCGCTTGCGTTAATACCGCGATCTAAACCGGTCAATCTGGTACCAGTGACGTCACATGTATGTAGGCGACGGTTTCCTAGCCTACAGTTGCAACTAGATGCAAATAATCTATAAAATGTTTTCGATCGTACTGCGATATAACTGAACTCTTCTCATAATTTTGTTCAACCAAAAATATTCGTACAAACGGATCCTTAGATCAAAGTAGTTTTATAATTATTTATTGATCAACTATCTTACTAAATAATATAAATGCGAAAATTTAGATGGATTGATGATGATGACTGATGGATCTTTCTTAGAGTTTGTCGCCTAAACGGCTGAACGGATCTCAATGAAATTAATCATAGATGTATAACAGTCTGAAAGAACACAAATGCTACATGCATTTGTTTTTTTAATTCCTCGCGAACAAAATCGCGGGGGAAAGCTAGCAAATATTTTTGGTTGCCAATAAGCGCTATTTGTTTTCCAATTTCAAATCATCAAAGAAATAGCGGGTGGAGGCGCGACGCACGAGGGAACCCGCTCTCCGATGACTCACGTACCGAGTTCGCCATTCGCAACGACTGCTCGTATTCTGCATTGCATGATTATGATCTTTATTAAGTCCCCTACGTTTTTTATTCTTCAAATAACTTTTATATCAATATTACATTATTATATTACGAACAGCATCACTCGGCTTCATAATTTGAGCAGTAAAGAAGTATCAGTGTTGGTTTTTCATACTAAATTTACACTAAGACCTATCATAAGGTAAAAGACAAAAGATACACGAATGCTTGTGACAACAAATTGCATGACACACAAAAGTTATCCGAACACAAAGGAGAAAGTTCATCGCTAACTGAGTGACGTTATCAAGGACGGCCTCCGACTTGAACATGTTCTGACATGACATGTTAGATGTCTTCACATTCATGATCCAGTACTGTCTTTATAATGAGATATTATTAGAATAGAACGCATAATAACTAAAAGATGGGACCGAGCCGTATATTGCTACTAGGGGCGGCGAATCACGAAACAACAGACAAAAAAATTCAATTAAAAAGCGTATTGAAGAAAAATATATTTTAATAAGGAAATGGCGTTCAGTTCTTATATGTTGTGATGGCTAAAAATAAGAAGCACGAGATATTAACCAATTAATACAATTAAATGATTGCAAATTACTCGAGCAATGAAAGTAGACGAGAGTTTGTGAGTGGGCGACGCGAAGTCTTTCTCCGGAACGGGACGACAACGCGACGATAGCCGCCGAGCGCTTTGTTACGCTACCAGGCAACTGACATCACAAGTTATTCAACAACTTGCTGCAAACATTATCTTCACTACAAATAGAGATAATAAAATAAACAATAGGCTACTCATTCCAGAGACAAGATACCTTTATACTATCATAGCTAACTTTTTATTGGACTTTCATAAGTATTATAGTCTAAAATCTTTCACCCTGGAGATGAAAATCTTATACTATCAGAATAACGTAGTCATAAATATAAGCAACATCAGACATTGCAGCTTATCTAAACATTGGATAATTTTATCCGAATGCAGATAGAATAACAGAAGGTTGAAAGATAACCTTAGATAAAATTATTGTAGCAAAAACGTGCATTAACTTTATAGACAGTATTTTTTAATAAAAACACCAATGTTTTTGATGCAGCAGGAGATTTTTAAGAACCAGTTATCGTATGCATTTCATTACTTCTGCACATTGTAAACTCGATTCAGAAACGTCTAAAGAAAACAATGATCGTAACCTTTTTACTACACTAAACTTATATTTGCACAAGTTTTATCCCACTGATTTTTTTATATCACCAAGTGGCATTTGAATCCCGTTCTTTCTCCAAGAGGTATCCTAAGAGACTTATTGATTTTATTAACTAGTTATCCAAACAACAGACGAAATCTGTTTTCATCTTCAACACAGGTTATACAGCAGTCTACTTTGGACGAGCCTTAGTAGTTCATTGAAGTACTGAAGTGGACAACACTTGACCCAATACCGTCTTCACAAAGAACCGCACATTAGGAGCACGTTGTAAAATGGCACTATTCATGCCAGGCTATAAGCAATATGAAGTGTTACTACATCTATGTTATCATTAGTGTTTTTAAAAAATAAATAAAGAAAAAGAAGAGACTCAAACTTTAAATAAGACGAAAATTAAAGCCTTTGAGACAAAACTTAGATTGACTTAACAGCTTATAATGACCAATCGATTTTTTTGCGAGATTGTGACATCGTGTTAAAAAAAAAAATTATCCTAGAATTTTAATGGTAGATGAAGTCGATCGCGGCGTTTTGCGTCAGCTGGTTGTGCAGGAAGACATCAATAAAGTCGCGCGCGTGCCAATAAATATACAAGGTTATGGGGCTGCCGCGTCACAAGGGATCGATGGCAATAGTGAATGTCGTGAACAAAACTTTGAACTACATTTTCTATAGGTTTTCGAAATTTATTGTACGATTGTCATCAGGACACCTTTGGCTTTTAGATATGTATGGATAAGTTTTGATTCTACTATTAATAAACTGCCTTTAATCAAATAAAATAGAAGATTTCATATATAAAAACAAAAGTCTATTCCGCGATAACTCATCGTCAAAATAATAATAGAAGTAAGATATGTTGCAAAACTATCGATAATTATTACAACAGTCTTTTTGCCGCTTTTGGAAAATTTATAACTGAACGTTGGTGGTTCTCAACGAGCATGTCCGTAGATGGATCGCGCAAGGCCGGGGCGCGTCCTCGCCGGACACAACCTGCCGCCGAACAAGTGCCGCGGGTTTTGACTGCTCGCAATACTAAATAACATCTCATTTGTATATTAAATACATCATTAAATGGTTCCCACAACTTGGTATTACTTTTGTACAAAGCTTAGTCTTACCAAAGTTTCAATCTCTTTCACATGTCATTAATCCAGAGTACAATCTTTTGGCAAAAAGAAAATAGTAATTTTCTTAACTTATACTGATGCATTTTAAGAATTGTTTTTAAAAATTAATTTTCCTTAAAAATGGTCAGATTAGAGAGTACTGATTAAGATTCCCTATAGTTCAGATTTTTGGTCAAAAGAATACCTTTTATCAAAAACACATTATATATTGAATATAAATCCTATATGTGTTACATTAACATCCCCTAACATCCTCAGCGCCAGACCCTAAGTGAATGACACAATGTACATGGACATAGATATACATTTCGGATTACTAGGGGCGCCAGATTAGACAGAGGCTGGATTACCACAGGTTCGCTGTATATGTATATTTTTTTAGCATTACTGCAGTAATTTTTTCATTAAAAATTTTTAGCTGGCCTTACTTTGATAATATTAATTTCTTTTAATCCCGGAGCCACATTTAAGTATGGTTACAACATTGTTATTCTAATGTTTGATCACTTCTGAGTTTGTTATGTTGGGATATACATGAGCATACTTAGATGTTTATAATGTCCTAAATTCAGCAACAAATTATTTTTTTAGAATCTATTGAAAAAATTGGCCAAATGTCACTATGTGACATTGATTATTGTTGAATAAATACCTTTTGTAAACTAAAAACCACAGTTGTTCAGTTATATTTAGGTTCTAGCTATTAATTACATTTTTTTCAATATACATAAGGAATACCATAAACATTCTATTGGCCTAAATTCTATCTTTTTGATTACTATAATCTGTTATAGCTATAAAACAATTTCCTATCATAAAATATTAATTGATTAATTATTTTAATAATAAAATCTAATAAATCAATTTTGAGAAAATAAAATTTGTTAGTACCTTATCAGGAAAAAAAACCAAAACTACAACAAACATACATAGTATCAATCAAGTGAAAAATATATTATTCTTATTAGGTTTATTTAACAAAACTTTTCCAATTAGATAAAACAAACTATTTGTAAGTTCTGCTGTTCTCTTATATTAAATTGACATTTGTATCTTTTCTTATACATAGGTTTATTCATTGAATTTTTAACAATTATAAGAACAAATTTGATGTTTTCTTATCATATGTTGTGTTAACTTATGGCTGCAGAACTAAGTTAACTAAAAATTTTACAATAGATGCCTTATCTTGTATAAAATCCCCCGATATTGATAAATAATTTATACATAATTTGGTTATTTATCTTTAATATGATCCCAGTTGGTTTATTCAGTTACCGACAACTGAAACACGATTCCGTTGATGTTACACAGAAATGCAAAAAATTAGTTATGCAGAAATATTGTGCAAGTGCAAAGCGATTGCAATAAATTCAAAATGTGATTGAACTCACCATCTGTTCTTTTTATGTTGATGTTAATTCCGGACTGGATATTTACTGTACCGTCATCCATTTTCGCACCGTTTTATGCACCACATACACTATATAACATTATATTATAATAAATTGTAGTCAAAATATGGTTTAACACAATCGAAAATTGCACATGAGAACCGGTGAAAATTACAAATAAATTTCTACACCCAGATTGACAGTTATATCGAGCTAGCTACACACTTCACAGTGGAACGTTTGAAATTTATTTCACTACCAGACAATAGTCAAATCAATTACACTCAATTTTAATACGGATTTCCAGCAATTGATTTGAAAATTGTTCCTATTAAATCTCAACTTAAGCAATAAAAAAAACTACAAACGTTTAAAATATTTCGGTTAAAGTACGAAAATCCAAAATTATCAGTCTGAACACCAATGCGTCGAAAAACACTGTATTGCCATATTACCGTTACATCACTTTCCCCTTTATGATTACGAGGTCGCGGTAATACCATTTTACCTCCTCAATTCCTCATAGAGAAGTTCTTAATTTCGAAATATATACAACTGGACTCTTATTAACAATCTTTCCATTTTTATTATGTTTCAAAAGTTTTAGTAATCTAATGAAACGTGATTAGTTATTATAACCTAACAGATATAATAATAAAAGCATTTAAATTCACTGATTTTGATTTTTGTGGAACAGTAGTATAAATTGGTATAAGTTTATAGTACTACGGACTTTAAGCATAATTATTAATTAATTTATTTAAGCATAATTGTAGCAAATTATACGACGGTAAATTCTTGATAAATATCCTGAATCCAGGGCTAAAATCTAAAACGCTCACCGACCAGTGTTACCAGGTGTTAACTAAGTGATGGTCTATGGTCGGATCGCCAATCACAAATGACATAAAGCAATCAATCAAGTTTTAGCATTTAAGTTTTACAATTCCATTTTAAGGGTAAAATTAGAAGCAACTCTACTATGAATAGCGAAACAAAGCTATCGCATAAAGCAAAAAAACGTATCAAAGAGGTTAAGAGGAAAGCTAGACCCGGTAAGAGTGTACTTTCTAAAAACTCATATCTATGTGCTAGCTTTTAATTCTACTTTTACTACACTATACCATATTCAAACTTGTTATCTGTTGAATATTTATTTATTATTGATTATCTGATAATCGATGATAAAGTTATAAGGTATTTAGAAATTTCTAGATGGATACCGTCACGCGTTTTGAGCAGCGACCCACATGCTTATAACTCATTACACCCATAGTATCACCGTAGTATCCTAAATGTATCGGAATATAATGAGTTTCTGAGCTTGGTATCACATATAAATGCCTATGTTATTGATACTCTTACAGAATTAGTTGACAAACACCAATGGACAGCTTTAAAGTATGCAGGAAATTTTGAAGAGTTCCTAAAATGCAAAGACAATGTGGACCGAATAAATATTAATGAAGTACCACAAGAATTATTTATAGAAAAATATGAAAAAATTTATAAGCCAGTAGTAATAACGCATGTACAAACAAATTGGAGGGCCAATCATAAATGGACTTTAGACAGACTAGCTAAGAAGTATCGTAACCAGAAGTTTAAATGTGGGGAGGACAATGAAGGCTATAGTGTTAAGATGAAAATGAAGTATTATGTTGAGTATATGAGGACAACAACTGATGATAGTCCACTTTATATTTTTGATAGTAGTTTTGGTGAGCATCCAAGAAGGAAAAAGCTTCTAGAAGATTATGAGATCCCTCAGTATTTTAGGGATGATCTGTTCAAGTATTGTGGAGAAGAGAGGAGGCCACCTTATCGCTGGTTCGTGATGGGGCCCCAGAGGTCTGGGACAGGGATACATATTGATCCATTAGGCACTAGTGCTTGGAATGCTCTGGTATTTGGTCACAAAAGATGGTGCTTGTTCCCAACACAAACACCAAGGGAAATGATCAAGGTCACTGGGGCAATGGGGGGCAAGCAGAGAGATGAGGCTATCACTTGGTTTAAGTTGATTTATCCTAAAACTCAATTGGACACATGGCCTACAGAGTATAAACCTGTATGTTAATTCTATACTATTTATTTTTTATGCCACATTAACAAACTTGTTAATATAAACTTTTAGATTCCTTTTTTCAAGATTTATGATTATGATGTCTTTCATGTATGATCTTAAATTATTTTTCAGGTTGAAATACTCCAAAAGCCAGGTGAAACAGTATTTGTGCCAGGTGGATGGTGGCATGTTGTAATCAACTTGGATGACACTGTAGCTGTGACGCAAAACTTTTGCAGTCGTACCAACTTTCCCGTTGTATGGCACAAGACGGTCCGTGGACGCCCTAAGTTGTCAAAGAAGTGGATCAAAACCCTTGAGAGTAAAGAGCCTGACCTTTACAAAGTTGCAAGTAGTATGGACTTGAACCAGAGCACTGGTGTGGCATCTGACAGCTCTTCAAACAGCAGCTCCTCCAGCAGTGATAGTGACAGTAGTTCTTCTAATAGTTCCAGTGAGGAGGACAGTGGACAAGAAAGCATTACAGCTCACAAAAAGAAAAGAAAAAGGAAAGTTTGACTTGAAAAAAAAAACAAAAACCAATAAAGTAATTATTAATTGCACCAAATTTTTAAAAAATAATGTATTGAATTATTGTCACATGTTAAATAAGCCTGCCCATTTTGTATTACTAGCATAATTCTTTAGATTATACTAATTGTTGTTTCCTGAATAGTGAACAATATATTTTTTGTTAACATAAATAAATAAATAGTATTACAATAAATTGATTTTCTTTTCGTCTCTGAAACGATTGAAGAGAGTTTAGTACCAATTAAGCTAGATTGAGTTTTTAAGAATTTGGTTTGAAATAATATAAAAATGTAATCAAATGAATACGAGGAAATAACGTTTTAATCTTGTTATTTTAAATGATTTGATGCTTTTTGGATGGGCAGGGCGTTCGAATTTACCTTTCTTACTTAATATTTTAGTGTGGCAACAAGGGATTTTTGACAACTGTCAAAGCAGCAAGTAAAATTCTTGTAGTCTATGGTCGTCGGTAGCCATTTGTTATCCTAAAAGTCTCCGAAACACATCAATTCAAAATGCTGAAATCAGCCTCTGGGTCTCTGATAAACGTCCTGAAAAGGTCCATAATCCCGGCTGTGAGGACCAGTGCTGCAATTCCAGTGAGGTGGTCTCACGATGGTCCTGTTGAATCCGATGAAGAATTTGATAACAGGTTAGCTCCCATAGTTTTGACGTTATGTAATTGAAAATCGTATCCTATTGGCACTATCATTTTATTTGTAATTTTCTCAAGTTAAATAAAGTCGCGGGTTTCATTCGAACCGTTTAGTTTCTAATGATTCAGTTTTAGTATAAAAGTGAGACACGCTTTACGCCGATCAATAGTGTTAGCTCGTTATCTTTCACAAGCTATAATATTAAATGACTTATCATGAATTTTGAAATAAAAGTCTACATTTCGCAAAATATTTGATTAAAAAAAATCGTGTAAAAATATAAGAATGCTACAATTTAATATGCGAAATAGTGAGATTCTCTTTACATGTAATATTCATCTGATATTCTATGTAAACTTAATAGTAATATAGAATTTGTGTTTTATGCAGGCCCAAAGGAGTCTTATGTCACAGTAGTTTTGTTAATCTACTTAAATTTCAACTAAATTGAAGACAACAAAATTTGAATTATCTTTTTAATTTGCATGATAGTAGTTATTAACATAGAGTTATTAACATCTTTGACCACATCATCACTTAACATTGGGTGGGATCATGATTAAGCACTAGCTTAACAAACATAAAAAAAGTCCAGTAAATGTACACAGTTGTCTAATATTTATGCATTCCTCAAAGAAGGAAATGTAGAATACTTATAGTAGAATAACTGCAATGCAGTATTTTTTCACTAGTGATGTAATGAAAAATGTTCATTTTATGAGTGAAATATCTCTTTTTCTAAGCGATGAATCAAACTATCACCAACCACCATTATTAACTTAAATACCTAAAGAAATGGTGTTGGTAGTGTTTAGCCAACATGATTTTTTTAAATGTCAAATATTTCTTTAGTTAACGTTAATTATTTCTTCCAGATATGAAGCCTTTTTCAACAGGAAAGACATTGACGGCTGGGAAATCCGCCAGGGCATGAATGACTTGTGCGGTATGGACCTTATTCCCGACCCTAAGATCATCAGGTCCGCTCTCCACGCTTGCAGAAGAGTGAATGACTATGCTCTGGCCGTCAGGTTCATTGAAGCTTGCAAAAACAAATGTGGACCTAAAGTGAATGAAATCTATCCTTACATCATCCAAGAAATCAAACCAACGTTGACAGAGCTTGGAATTGAGACTCCAGAGGAACTGGGCTATGACAAGCCAGAGTTAGCATTGGAGAGTGTTTACGATATTTAAGGCTACTGGAGGTTATCATGTTAAGCTGTAGAAGAATGTGTATTATAGATTTGTCTTTAACTTTATTTTATTGAATTGTGCGAAACACATCTGCCTTAGCAAATGTTTTTTAGGTTCACCATTTAATAATCAACCAGCTTTTATCTAATGTATTAAAACATTATGAGGAATATTCTTGTTTTATTTTATGAACACTCCTTATACAATATAACGCCAGTTCTGTACTTTAATGTGCTAACACTAGTTGAAGTTTAGCAGTACTTCTGTGAAAAATATAAAAACTGCAGAGTCTAGCTTCCCTACCTTCTATATCTATACACAGGCTACATTCTAAATTTCAAGTTTTTAGCACCAATGGAAGTGCCTTAAAATTACGATTAAAAATGTGAAGAATCAAACTAGCTGTACTACTGGATACTTGGAATTTTTTAACTACAAGATATTTTGGCAATATAACAAATTAAGGCTTGCCTATGTTCATAATTTCAACCTTCTATCTTTACCCACGACAAAGTTACAGGGGTGTGAAAAGTGCCCTAAACTGCTTCGAGTAAATAGTGTTAGGCCGTGGTCGCCTCGGCGAGTGGACTGCCGCGCACCTAGATTTAAGTAATTATCAAACATAAAATAATTTATGAGGACGTTTTCGTAACGTCAACGAAATTTTTATCATATTTGTATATCGACTGAGCTGAAAGTACTCGAATCTCATAAAAATGTCGACATTACGAAACCATCTCGCAACTGTCACTGAAATATTCGTGTAAAATTCTGCAGACTCAGTGATCACAATGGCGATGTCATCTTTTTTGTTATGAAATTATAGCCTCTCACAGACTAGTTTCTATCATCATCAACTTGACCTTGTCTCTAAGGAGGGTCGGCACAGTATATGCTGCTCTTCCATACCTATCAGCCGCCATATCTGAACCCACTCCCTTCTTAAACATATCAACACTGATTTTAGGTCATCAACCAACCATCCAACTTCAGCAGCTTCCACTGGTATTCTATCCCGCCCAACAACCTGTCCATTCTTCATACCTTGCACTGCTTTCTTTACTTCATCCACACTATTCTCTTTCACCATACCAATATTAACCGTCAAGTTTTCTACCACTCGTCTAAATATTCTCTTTCACAGGTCTTCAAAACATCCCATAACTTTTACACATAACAACCATACCTCGTCTAGACAAAACAAGCTTTGGTCTAAATACATAAAGGGGTAATAAAACAATCTGATTTAAAAGAGTGCTTTGAATAAATAAACCGTGTATGTAAATACTTTAATGATTGCAATATTCACACAGTCATACCATCTATATACAAATCATTGTACTTAATAACAAAATTGTGCTTTATTCCATATATTCTAAGGTACAGAACACAATGAACTCTTTGGTGGTAATAATCGAACATAAAATATGAACTGAAAACAACAATACAAAAAATAAAACAATACTAGAAAGACTTTAGCAAACATCAAATACTCAGGAGCACACATCACAAGTTTGTACTCTTCTATGACTACTTAAATATTAGCCATGTATATATTTAAATAATTTACTTAGCGCGAATCTTTGGAAACTACCGGATTTTACCAATATTTGGCGAGGTTTAAAGAGCTACAAGCATTTATACAGCTACATATTTGAAATGTTACAGCAAAAATTTTAAGACCATATCGTTTATTTGCAAAATGATTTATTTAAAATCATGTAAAGTTATTTTATACAATCAACAGACAGTTTTAATAATCACATACTTATGAGTAATTTCAATGATTTTTTAAGTTAAACATTGTCTAGATATTTAAAAATATTTTCTCTATTACTTTGAATAAATATTCTTACAAATTTACATAGGGTTATAACTGCCACACGTAAATTGCTTACTTGAGCGGTCCTTAGTGTGGATTTTCCATACTAAATCTATAAAGGGACTCCCTTAGTGCTCATTAAATGTTTGACGGCCTAATTCTAAACCGAAACAACACTTAGCTTCATTAGTCTCTAACAAAGGTAAAAATGTTTAATGGAATTTGTAGTTTAAGCATGGGCTTACATGGCTGTTACATATCTAAATGTTCCAGTGTTCGGCCGTTACTGTGCCAAAGATTTTTTACTATAAAAACACTATTTTCTCTCTTTTATCATAGATAAAAACAGGGAAGACAATGTTTTCGTAAAATGTTTCTCTTGTCAATGTATTTTTACATAAAAACAACTAAATTATCTAATAAATTGCATTTTACAAGTTACGATTTGATTTAAACATAAATCTATGTTCATTGCGAAAAGTTAGTTACATTTACTAATGCTTTCCAACGCTTCCAAAATAGTGAGCGATAACCCTGCGCATATATTTACTACTATTCAATAATTTACATTGACATCCAGTTTACAGTATTCCAGTCCAGCGGTCAATCCAGCGCTGGATAACAACTGGAATGTAAACAAATACGAAAAATCCTAATGTGAATTTCAAATTTCCAGTTGTAAGCCATTGCTGGACTGGTATAACGTAAACTGGGTTAAACTCTATAAATACAATAATTTATCTAATCGTGAACACTATTTATACAAAAGTTATACATTAAAATTTATTAGTAAATCTATAAATCGTACATCACCTTTAATTATTATTTATTTAATTATTTATACAAATTTGTAGACTAGATAAGATTCGCTATGACTGGAACTGGGACTAGAACATTGTACAAATGGCGCGAATAAATTAAAATAACAACAACTGTCTCAACAAACACACTTACACTAAAATAATTTAAAGGAATGTAAATAATAAATTAATTTTATAAATAACTGCCACGTTACAAAATAAACGGAAGCCGTGTGTATAAATTAAAAAAAAATTAATTTAAAATTAAAATATTGCACAAATGTAGGGCTTTATTGCTATTAGTGCTGTTATTGCTGTGTAGAGTTCAACAATATTTTAGTAAAACATTTAGTTAAATTAGATTATTCAAACAAATCATTTAAATGACGAACTTACCGAGCTCTACACATCAAAATATCTAAAAGGACCTGATTTGCTTCAAATAAATTATTTAACGCTATAATAAAAATATGGCGGTTACTTAAAGCAAAATTAGTAACACATTTGAAAGCTTTTAAAATAAGATCGGTGTTTAAAAATAAGACAGATCTGAGTCTCTGACATTACAACACTCATTACACGACACCCGCGTTTTAATACACTCAAAAATTTCACTAAATAAGGTAACTTTTGCAACTAGAGTTGTCTTGTCTCGTTGTATTCACTAGACGTGGAACATTCTGGATCACGTGCCGTGCGGCGGGGGGCGCGGTGGGCGCGGGGGGTGCGCGCAGCGACGGGCGCGGGGGGTGCGACGGGCGCGGCGGTCGCGGCGCGCGGGGGGCTAGGCGCGCTCCTCCAGCAGGCCGGGCGACGCCAGCGCCGGCAGCTAGGAGTCCGCCGCCACCGCCTCCCGCTCTGATTTCACTTGTTGCTGTAACATTACGTCATTAGTGAATACATCAGCTACCTTCCTGTGAAAGTCCTGTCAAAATCTGTTCCACCGTTCCAAAGATTTTATCTATTTGTCTATTTATCTATCTTCCGTCATTTGTCCTCACTTCTTGATCACGTCATCATTCATGCAATCCATCCATCTCTTTTTATGTCGGTATATCTCCACACTTATAACTTAAGTTTTACTTACATGTGATTCATCCCTCCTCAAAACAAGCTAAGCTTTTCCTCATTAATTTCTCTATCACTGTTGCTATACAAAGTTTGAGTTAGGTGGTAAAGTACAAACGGGTGGTGTTACCATTGCCTTGGTGAGGGCGGTAGCATCCTTGAGGCTGAGCACCTGCAGCAGCTGCGTGTCCCCGCCTCCTTGTAGCACCACCTGCGCCACGCCGCCGCCCAGCGACAGCGCCTCCAGACCCTCGCCGCCCGGCTCCACCTGCGTCACAACATTGCATGTCACCATACAGACTACAACTCAAGTAAGGTCCCTTTCTATTGACGAAATTTGTAATACACATTGTTATCTGAAAAGTAAAGCAAATTTGCTTCAGTCCTTTTTATTTTTTTCCTCACAAAAGGTTCTCAGCTAGTTTTTATTAATAAACTAGGAAAACGAAAATGTAGCTTGCTAAGCTTTCGGGCTAAAATTTTATTAATTATTCTTTAGTATTCAGAATAGTGACAACAAAATCAAATTAAACATTACTCAAACCTTTTGTGAACATTTAAAACTGAAATACGAACACTTATATATTTCGAAATGAACTAAATAACAGTAACATAAACAAAACATACACACCTGAACAAACAGCAACACAAATATTACAAAATAAATAAAACAAAACATTCACATAAATATTTTTTGTTATTAAAACACTTCTACATTGACATGCTCTTACAGTTTGAACAAATTTATTAATTACAAGCAAAATAAAATTAAAAACAAGCATCCACGATTACAATATAAACACATTGTGAATTACAAATATAGCTTTTCAAGCTAATTTACGTAAACATAAAATCACAGCTTTTCTTTGGACATTACTGCACACGTAAATTATATCTAGCCAGGCTTCAGTCAGGTTTTAATTCTGTTACTGGAAGGGCCTGTCCCACCACTGGCTGATAGTTTCAGATTAAAAATGACGTCACTGTCAGATAAGGCAGTAAAATCCGATTTTTCAATCACATATTTTACACATTAAATTTTTATCAGACAATTTACAATTTCGTGTGACAGGCCCTTGATAACTATTATTTACAGCCTGACCAGAAATATAAAACTACTGTTATTTTGGTTAAAAACCTATATTGTTTTGGTGGGCTTCAAATACTAATTTTTATTGAAAGATTTTTTTAAACAACTTTAAAATAATTCGGAATAATTACACATCTTAAAACTGTTTTCAAAACCTTTCAGATTGGAGTTAGAAGATTTCTAACATCTTAAATGTTTAATAATTATTAAATGCAGAATAATTCAAACTGAATAGACCTCTCAGCAACCGGGCATTTAAAGCCAAAATCATAAAAAAAAACTATAAGAGAAAATATTATACTATAGAATATGTTAACTAAAAGAATATATTATATTCTATATTCTTGTGTATCAAAACAAATACAAGCAACACACATACAAATAAGTTACACACAATTTTAAAAAAGCAATTTGTCACTATATCACAAAAATTGTGTTTTTTATTTTAGAAATACACAATTCTTAATATAAAATTGATTTAAAAATTGTAATTGATTATTTTCTTATTTGAGGAAGGGAAAAGATTAAAATTTGCCTTCCACAAAACATCATTTCCACACTTTAGGAACATGACAAATTGCTTCAGAAACATAGTTTATTTAGCAAATAAACTAAATTTGAATTTAGAAACAAAGCTTAGACACAATTACATGCAAACACAAACTGTAAATAACTAGCGATCACTACTTATTTTTTTAAAAACCACTAAATTGAAAAAAATAATAATTTATTTTAGATAATTATTATTATTATTTTTTATATTACAAAGCAAATTCAAATGCACAGAAATATCACAACTACATGGCATAGTAAAAATGGCACTGATAAAGTATGAAATTGTGTAAAACTGTTTATTTAACGAGTACAGTCAGCTGCACAAATATGTATACAGTTACCATGAAACAGAAACTTGTCTACACTTTCGGTTTTAAAGAATGTGTGTGTCTGTATGTTTCCGAACATGAATACATAAGTGTGGACATATTCGATAGTTATTAAAAAAAAACACTATTGACTAAAATTTATCTAATTAACTACATAGTGTAAAGCGGTAATTTTGAATTTTCTTTTAAATTTCGGATAAAACATAATTAAGTAAAGTTAATTTAAAAATGTAAAATGTTGACTGAATCGTATTTGCTTTTATATCCCTATTTTCGCAGCTGACTGTACATAGAGTTATTTATTGTCTAAATAACTAAGGTTTATGTCTTAGCACTGTTTCTTATATTACATAGCACCCAATCTATTCTTGTTTTTTGAGTAAAAATCAATAATCTTACTCTTCATTGGATTAATAATTTAAAAGTACGTAAATTTTATCTTTTTAATATTGTAACATGTAATAAATCTGTCTATAAATTAAGCAGCATTTCTAAAGCTCAAAGCAATCATTTAATTCAACTTAAATATGTGTAGTAAATACTTTTCTTTGGTATATATGTATGGTTTACCATACATATTTTATAATACTAACATAATAAGTTTCTGTTCTAAGACATTTATAGTTCATTCCAGTCCAGTCATTGACGCTGGTTTAAAACTGGAGTTGTATAAATCAAATGGAATGTTATGTAAATTGAGCAATAACTTGCAATTTATTTTGTTTAGTAACTATGCTGTCATATTGACGTTAATTGGCTCTAGTAACCAAAATAATCGATGCCAGTGTTACTGTCCTACTGTACTGGAATGAAGTGTGTGTGCCTAGGCGGCGGCGTGGTGCGTGCGTGCGCGTGCGTAGTGCAGTGGGCGGGGCAGGGGGCGGACCTGCACGAGCGGCGCGACGCAGACGCCGTCCTGCTGCTGCATGGAGGCCACCATCGACTGGTACACGGAGGCCGACACCGGCACCGTGATCACTCCCGACACCGACACAGGGTACCCTGGTAACAATTAATATATTGAAATATTTGGCCTGTGAAACTTAAAAATTACTTGTCACTAATAGCTTGCAAGGTTTCAATAACATACATACATTGTAAGGTAACTAAAAGGCTTTAGTTATTGATAATTGAGACTGTAAATTGCAGATTAATTCAATATAGTTTTAAGTTTTTAAATTGAGCCTTATACAAAAAAGTTTGTCACCACTGTCCTTTCCCCAAGAGGTACACAAACATTTTACGAACTTTCTCAGAGTGGGACACAAACGGTATCCGAACTTATTCGTGATCCGCGCTCCGGATTATCCCCAGCCGTCGCCCTGCTCTGTCCCCACGTGGGAACAGATAAGAATAAAAAGTTTCATCCGTCCCACGATTTGCGACGAGGGGACGGATGGAACTTATTTTATTTCTCAACAGCTACATCTTTCAAATTATTGGTGAAAGGGGGACTAAAAGGTGGGACGGATAAGACTTTTTACTCTCACGTGGGGACAGAGCGGGGTGACGGTCGGGAGTAATCCCGCACTCCGTCTTCACTAGGCCTATAGGAGCTGGCGTCATCCATGACACAGTCTATGAATTGGTTTGCACTCTATGGTGCATGTTGCGTACCGTGGCCATCCTCTCCGGTGAGTATGAGCTGTCCGTCGTGGTTGAGCGTGGCCTCCGCCACCGCGTTGAGGTCCACCGCCACCGCGCCCTCGCCCTCCAGCGCCTGCACCACGCCGCTGCCGTCCGCGCTGATCTGCAACACATATACTTTGCACATTATTATACTATAAATACACATTTATAAAAAGAAAAACTAGCTTTCGCCCGCAACTCCATTCGCGTGGAATTAGCGTAAAACAAAATACCAAATTTTATCGAGATCCTTTCAGCAGTTAAGGGTAGAAACATCCATCCGCCCATTTAAACTTTCGCATTTAAAATATTAATAAGATAATGTAGACACTACAGAAGAAAAAAAAGAACCTTAATGAAATATCCTGATAAAAGCTGTCCTCTCTTACTGAAGCTATGTAATTTCCACTACTATAAAATTTAATTTTGATGAAATCTTAATGTTCGGATGAAATCTAAAATCTCTGTTAGAATTTTTCTGTTCGTTTGTTCCTTATGTTATTATGTTTTTTTTTTGTTCTTTATACATTACAAGTTCAGTTATTGTTTTATGGATATGTGTAAATATGTATAGTACGATGTTTCTGACCACTTGTGCGGTGGTGCCGTCGGGCAGCGTGATGATGGGGCTGTTGGGGTCCACCTGGATGAGCGACACCGTGCCGTCCGGGTTCGTGATCGTCTGCAGCATCGCCGGCGCGTACTGCGACATCTGCACACCATACATTATACATACTTTTACAATATCACTTACGAGATAATTAAGACATTTATGAAATGTGTAAAATGTGTATTGCGCAGACATTTAAGAAATATACAGACTTGATATTTTAAACATTTTTTCACCGGTAACATCTTTGAAAGGTACTATGTCAAGTTTAATACGAAATTATAATAGCTCCATATATTGTTAAACAAACTAAACAAAGTCCCAAAATAAAACATTTAAATCTGATTTAAAGACACCTGGCAATAGATTATATAGACATGTGTCAACTATGCATTTTCTATATATTTTTTGAATCTCTTTAATATAGCGCGTACATCGACATCGGCCAGCGTCATCTGGTCGATGCAGACTTGCGAGGCGGAGAGCACGGCCCCGCCCTGCGCCGAGCGGCTGCCCGACCCCGACGACCCTCCGCCCGGCAGAAGCACCTGCCCGACCACACCACGACAGTGTGTCACGTGTACAATGTTGTGTAATATTTACGATGTATGTAATATTTATGATGTGTGTAAAATTTATGGTGTGTGTAATATTTACAATATGTACAATATTTATGACGTGTATAACAATTTTAAAATGTGTAACGTTACCAAATCCATATGCGGCATTTCCAATGTTAGCGGGGGTAGAAATTAATCACAATTTATTCAAGTTTTAATGCAAACGACACATAAAATGATGTAAATATCGTATTAGAGGATGGTAGTTGTATTGTACAGTGACGTGTACTAACGGGCTGCGTGGGCGGCTTGTCGTCCTCCTCAGTGAAGGCGGGCAGCAGGTCCTCGCGGCCGTGGTACTTGTAGCAGTTGATCACGATCTGCCGCAGCGCGTGCGTCCACGACATCTGAACACGCACACAACATATCACTGACTGTACTTATTATATAAGTTTTAATATTATAAATGCAAAAGTTTAGATGGATGGACGGATGTTTGTTAGAGTTTGTAGTCTAACGGCTGAACGGATCTCGATGAAATTTGGTAAAGATGTAGAGGATAGTCTGGAAGAACACATAGGCTACTTACTTTTGTTTTTTTAATTCCACGCGGACGGAGTCGCGGGCGATAGCTAGTTATACAATTAAATCGGCCCTTTTTGCTTGTACCTTTTCAAGGTCCGAATTGATTTATAGTTTGTTGTGGATTAGAAATGTGTTGGTGTGTGTACCTTCTGTTTCTCGTCCTCTGTGCGCGCGTCCATGCGCACGTTGGCCCAGGGCAGGTCCTTGGGCCACCAGGGCGGCCGCGTCGACTCGCGCCCCCAGCCCGGCTTGCCGCGCACTACGCACGCGTACAAAACATATTTCGAAAAAAATATTTTTGTCGATTAACTCGTTATTAAAAGTCTATTTGTTAGCACACATAGTTAATTTTTTAGTGTATGTGTGTGTGTATCACTCACCCATGGAGTACTTGAGCATGAGCGGTATGAAGGCGCGCAGCTGCGCCTGCGTCATCTTCTCGACGGGCGTGGGGATGCCGTCGATGATGAGCGGCGGCAGCTCGAACAGCGAGGGGTCCTCCAGCGGCGGCGGCGGCGCCTGCGGGCACCCGCCCAGTCCGAACTGTGCCTCGTTATCCCACTCGCATCACAACCGGCAGACATGCCCGCCTCGCCTCGCACTGCCCTCCCCCCATTGCACTCTCACCTATCCCTTATAGCGCCTTATAGCGATTGCATGTCGTGCCAATTATGACTAACGATTTGAGTTCTAATGCTTTAGAGATTATACATCTCTGAGGCGTCGTTCATACTTTTAATTAACATTTACTACAAAAACGAACATAAAATCTATTGGGACCGGGGGGAGGGATATAACTACAAAATGAAACAAAACAGATGGATGTGTGAGATGATAGCGTGTGATGGTTACCTGCTGCGCGAGGGCATTCTCCAGCTCCTCCATGATCATGCAGCGCAGGTTGCGCACCACGTCCTCCAGCGGCTTGGCGCCGAACACGCGGTACGAGGTGTTGGGCTTGCCCGGCGTCGCCACCAGCACCACCGCCTGCTGCCCCACGCGCGTCGCGAACTCCTCGATCGTTTGCTGCAACACTCATCTCACCTCATACCGTGACCGTACCCAGCTCCATGTTCAAGGGGTTAGTAATAAACCTACTCTTTTTATTCCAACGATGTTTTAACGAAAAACTAACAAGTTTGTTTGTTTGCTGAATTATCTACACATTTCTATGGATTGTAAAAAACTTAGAATTAGGCCCAAATCTAGCTGAAATTAGGCATATATGTATATAGTAGTCTAGAAAACACATAGACTACTAAGTATTTCTTATAATTCCATGACAACGAAGTCAAGGGCCACAGCTAGTACACAAAGAAAACTTTCTTTAATAAAGGTATAAGGTGCTGAAATAAATGTAACTCACTCTTAGTTTCCTCAAAAGTCTGTTCTGGTGCCTCTTCCTGACGGAGGGGTTTGTCTCGAAGGAGTGCGGCCGCTTGCGCTTCTTGGAGGAGGCGATGGCTGCAGCCGCGGCCATGCCTATAGGTCCTAGCACAGTACAAAATATTTTATTACTGCCAATTTAAACACACACTTGTACAGTGTGTAGGGTTTCTGAAACTATAACAAAGTATTATTCTAACATCACAATAAATTAATGAAAATGTAGTTTGAATGAATGGATGTTTTTTACTACATCACCTCAAATCTAAATGAAATTTGGCTCAGATGTAGTACATAGTCTAGAAGAACGCAAAGTCTTCTAAGTTATGATGTGTATGTGTGCTGACCAAGTTGCAGACAAAAGCTAATTTAATTAACTTTGATCCATCTTCATTAATCACCATGAGGGTCTCTGTTTACCCACTGTGTGTGAACTGTTTGGTCTCGTGCTCACCGGCGGCGGCTAGTTGCTTGGTGACCTCGTCGCTCATGGCGTTCTTCATATCACCGCCATCGTCGTAATGGCTGCCAGCTGGCGAGGACACGCACTCCTCCTCATCCTCTGAGGGCCCGCTGCCTGCGCACCCCGACCCTGAGCCCTCGCAACCCTCGCCCTCCGCTGTTACCACGTCCTGTGCAACAAACTTTCAATAATGCATCTACCTTCCTCATACACTACTCCCTATGATGCCAGGGAAAATAGGGAAGGGCAGGTTCCTAGAGAATCGAAAAGTGTAAAATACTACTTTGACTAAGAGAATTTTAATGGTAGCCACTCCCCTAGACCTAGCATAGGTCATTAACTGACAATGACTATGAGTACTTGCAAAAATTAGCTCTCGTGATTTCTTTATTTGATCTATATAAACAATGTCTGTGTATTTGCCATAAATGTACATAACAAATGTTGAATATAACTATTTAGTTATAACATTTCTAAACAACCTGCTAGTTTGCCTTTTTTTTAATCTTAGGTAAAATGTGAAAATTGTATTCTTATATCATAGAATATCATTTTATAATCACATGTTACATATAACTACATTGTTTACAATTTAACACTTCATTAGTACTTTCTGTCTTTATACAAATTAATCATTTTACTCATATTACAAAAAAAAAAAAAGAAAAACGGAAACCCTATTATAATAGTGTTTCGTTTAAACACTAATATAATAAAAAAACAAAAGTAAAACTTTGTATATTTGGATAAATATTAGAAGGTAACTAACAGCTGAACAGATCTTGCCTAAATTTGGCATAGACGTAGAACATATTTTGGAAGACCACTTATATATTTTTAATTTCTCATGGATGGAGTCGAAAGCCACAGTTAGTACATTATATCTATGAAATCTATGTATTAAGTTGGTACCTCATCAGCCATGTCCATGGCCTCAGAGGTCTCGGCGTTGTTCATAGCGCCGTAATCACAATCTCCGTCTCCTTGTCGGTTCTTGTCTTCCTCTACCATTGGGTTGTACAACAAGCTTTATCTTCACTGACAACTTTACAGGTACCCCTATTTGGTTCACATTAAAATCTGTAAATAAAAATGTCATTTATTTAATATTGACAATATGTGACATTGATAATAAACATGTAGATAAAAAATTACTAACACAGTATACAATAATCAGTATTCCTAAACATTGGCACAATCTTATTAAAACTAATTTTAAAGTATTATCTCACTTGGCATTGCTTTAAACTTACCTTACAAGCAAAAGTTTAATAAAGAATTAACACTTCATTGCCAACTAAGACACACATAAATCTACTTTAGTTTTAGTTATTCATATGAGTATGAGTCAGTGTTTAAAAGATTTTATTTAGTATACTATGAAAGTGTTTTAAAATGTAGTTTTAAAAATGTTATAAATTGTACAAACTAAAGTCCATACATGACTGTAATATATTGTAGTTGTAAATATGTAAATTTATTATGAATATATCCAAAAGAACCTACCAACTGTTACAAAAAACATAACTGTATTCAATAATCAATAAGTTTAAGTTTAAATGTTTGCTATTTTAACCAAGAACTTAAGTTAAAATTAAGTTATTACTGAAAAATTACTATTAGACTACTGTAAACCTAATTTATTGACCTCTGACCTTTTCACTTATATCTCAGACTACTAAATATGTGTCAAGTAACAAGGTTTGTATGGATAATACATTTAATATTCTTGTTTATAAAGTTCACAGAACTATTCAAAGTAGATAAAATCAAGTTTGTTGCATAAAAAGTTATTGATTTCAACATGGTTACTCTTCTAGTGTACAATTCTGTACTAGCCAGCTAGTCATTCGAAAAATCAATACTTGTTCTAAGTGAAAATTACGATATCGCATATTATAGAAACATGCAGAAGAATGTTGTTTATCATCCTCCTAAGGAACTGGGTCGTTATGATCACTTCTTAGATCATAATAATTCTAAAACCATAAAATGGAGTTGCAATTTCAGGCAAATAGTTTTATGTTTTTGTTTAGATGCAACTTGAAGCGGTTTAGCGCAGCGTTACAAAATTGAAGACGAATGACATGAAGTCTTTTGCGGCGGCGTAAAGGATAAGCCCAAATGAATGGCCATCATGAAGGGGTCGCGCGTTCGAGCAGGCCCAGACAGCATGGAAAGACTACGACTGCGTACGCACCTGCGTGATTTGAAAGACATTTTGCAATCCTATTAAAACCTCCGCAAATTTGTTGTGATGTAACCGAGACGAAACTACACTTTTTAGGACTTTATCACTTAGCCCGACACTGTATTCACAAATTGCACCAAGCACACGGGGTACCACGAAAAACGCGAATCCTCCATTGATATCGATCGGTAAGCGCGATATGCGAACATTGTACACTCCATATCTACGAAGCGCCATTTTGTACGAGTCTGCGCGGTGTAGACGTGAGCGTTATTTCACGTCACTAGTTACAATCACCTGTGACGAGATATGTAACGGCGTCACTAGTTTCGAGTCAAATTGAAAGT